GGGATTACCCTAGGCATTCTAGAAGTGGTCTGAAATGAGGAGAAAAAGTTGTGCATAGTGCAACAACATTCGTTCACTAATCTGGAAGGCGAAAAGTTTCCCATTCCGATGCAGTCGTGTTGTCCTTTAAAACCTAAACAGATTCTTATTTTATCGAGAATTAAGACAAAGCTACTTGGACTGGGTTGCGGTGAGCTGCGTTCATAATTCTCGTCTGCGTTCGAGCGTTTCGAGGTTTTGGGTTTTGAGCCAAAAGGAAAGTTAGCTGTCTACTTAGCGTTTTGAATCTCAGTGGAATACTAGGCTTTTGAGCGAAAAGTATAAGGTGTCGATCGGAGCTAAAAACGCCAGATCACATACGTGCGCTATCCAGGCAATTTCGACGCTGTTGTGAGATGCTGTGTTTGGTGTGCATCCAGATTTATTTACGGCTCCTTTGGGGGTACGGTGTTTCGTTGTTCGCCTACTGAAGTTACCGTACTGTAAATAAATCAGAAGGGCGGTTTTTTGGAGGTGCAGGGAGGTTGTCTTCACTAAATAGATGAAGGAAGTCCATCCAGGATCAAGCACTGCGCTGAGGAAGTTTTCTGTTTTTGTGTGTTCAGTAGCCTCACTTCCCAATATCCGTCTAGCGAGGTGGGGGGGGGGGTCACGGACTCGAGGCTAAAGGTGGTCATGCACACGCTTAGTTGTGCAAAATATTTGCTAAATACGACCCCCTGTTAGAGCCTGACTACCCTCCCATTAATCTTTTTGCTGAAAACTTGCCTGCCTCGAGTGGAGAGAGGGGGAGAGGGGCGTACGGCATGCGACCTCTTCCGATTAACCATCGCAAGTTATCTTTTTACTGCACCGCTCTGTTGTGGAGGTACAAACGGAGTGCGTGAAAAACTAAAAATCAAATCACGAAAAGATGTCAACTGCTTGCCCTTTTCGAGGTTGATAGGTGAAACATTTATTTAAAGACCTAGTGATGCGACTTAATCGTCGTCTTCAGTATTTTCAATCGTACGAAAAAATTCCTCATGGCAAAATGAGACCCCCTTCCAGCGATCAGATGCGGTCACTAGTTATGTAAAACCCAGCGGATGATGCGCCTTGTAAGAAATACAGTTGATAACGACGCAATCACACGGAGGAGGTTTCAAGTGGGATCGAATGAGCCCACCCGCGGCGTTTCCATCACTGCTTGCCGATAAAAAACCTGCCTGGACATGGAACCCGTGTTGGAAAAAATCAATAATCAATACAAGTCCATTGGACCGAATACGACCCCCTCCCTCAGTGTCC